GATCACCCTTGCACCTTTAAACCACACATTTAACTCCAGGTCAAATGTGTGTTTATATTGTTTTATATATATTTATATTTATATTTATATTTAGTTAATAGATGTTGCTTGTATAATATATGTTGTTTGTATAATTTCCCCCTGGGATTATTAAAGTATTTCTGATTCTGATTCTGATGAGAACTGTAGCTCAGGAAACACACACATCAGTGATTACCTTCCCCTTTACCAATGTCTCACTATGTCAATATATTTATAAAAAGGTAGGTTTTTATCTTATTAAGGGCAGCAGTGGAGGACAGTGGAGGATATAATACCGGCAACACTTGCAGTACAACTCTCTAGACATAATCGCCTATGTCAGAAACACACTATCCAGAATGATAAATGAACATCAAACATATACACATATACTGATGCTGTTGCTAAGTATCTCTCTATTTCTATCAGCTAGCTTAACAGGTAACCAATCATCTTCTAGAGGTTATTGTGTATTCTCAAAATATATTTGTTCAACGTTGGTAAATTGTGTAATATATATGCAATGTACACTGTGGACAGAAAAAGTTAAGACTCTTAATCTGGCAGCACCAGAATGTAGTCTATGTGTGACTGTAAGCGCTTCTCCTCCCCCGTAACTTAAACAATAAGGCACTGAAAGCATTTAAATAACTCTATAATACTCACATGTCACTGTTAGCTAATCGCCTGAATTCCTGCACATTAAGAGGCTTCTTTTGGATGTTGTACTGAGTGAAGAGCCCTGATTGGCCAGCCACCATCTGCTGGATGGGAGCATCAATCATCAGCTCATCTATGTCGTCATAGGTACGACGGGGCTTCCAGCCTTTAGGGGGTATCACCTGTGGGACAAACAGAGGAGGGAGTGACTGCTGTTGAACATAAAACAAGAACAGAGTTACCTTGTACAAAACAGATCACTCTAATCAACAGTAGTTAACCCACCAAAGGTAAGCTTGTATGTATTTTAACATGCCACACTATATGTCTGAATGTCTCTCCCTGTCTTTCTTCTTTCCTGACCGACTAAAACTGCCTTCAGTCCAAGATGACGTATAAACAGCCTCTGTCATCAAACTATACGCCTATGAGAGAGGACAACTGGACACACCAACCTAGTGGACACAATGAAGTCTATCACACTGATCCATCACATGGTTTTAGACAAGCAATGGTGAACTTGAAGCTTTGTGCAAGTTGATATTGAAAACTGCCTACCTTAGCCAGGCCTGCGCGGTGTGCACCCTGAGACTCCATATAAACCAGGTACTGGTTGAAGTCCTTGAACTCTTCCATGGTGGGCCTGAAGGTCATAATCTTGCAGGTGGGGTTTGCAGGGGTGAACACCTCTGCTCCCGCCATCCTGCCGCCTCACCAGATATAACCTGGGGGAAAAAACAACATCAAAACAATCATCAAAAGCCATCAACATCTGGCTTTTAAATTGTAATGGTGACAGATTCTGGGGCTGGTAAAAAAAAACAAACATTGATTACTTTGTGGGGGGGAGGTATGTGGAATGGAAGAAGAACTAGTGGCAAGAATGAATATATGTTGTAGATACTGTTATAGATGCAGTACCTGTACGGATGGAAACGTATTTGAAAAGTAATTCATTTTTATTTGTTTAAATAGTAATAAATGAATCTAGTGTGTCCGTTATTTTTGGTTGTTAGAGTGTATGTATGGCAGCAATAAAGCCAAGTTAATAACAAGATCAGTTAAAAACATTAGGCCTATACCCATTTCACACTTCAGCCCATCTCCAGCACTTTCTTACTACTTTTAATCAGGTATTTCCACTTTTTTGCACCTGTTGCAGAACCATGCTAATTCTAATAATTCCCTATGAGTGTAAGTGTTAATTAATTAGGCAAGTGTATTTATTTTCTCTTTGTCTAATACCTTGGTGCACGTTTTATACTGACCACAACAAAATCCGTCCCACTATAATGTAATTGACTGTGACTGGACTAGGAGGCAGACAACTTCACCACTAGATGGAGGTAGAGATTCAACAAATGTCGATTTGATCCTTTGATCCTTGCTGATGCCAACAACCCTTTTCAGATTTGTGTCCCATCCACCCATCCACCCATCCCACTCCCAACTCTGACTTCACTGTGCATTCAGACAAAGGATCATATTGCCCTGAAACAAGCTACTGTGGGTTTTGAACGTTACATATGTTCATACCGCTACATTACAATGGCGTGCGACCTGATTATGTAACAGGCAATTGCAGGCTGAAACAAGTTTTTGAAAACCGGCTACAATATTTAGACACAATGTGTTTACTGACTTACTCTTTGTTCAGATATTAAAACTATAATTTCAAAACGTGGATACCCTTAACCGGGCATTTTCGGCCTTTTATTACTCCAGACAAACCCATTAAAAATCCCGAGAGCAACTAAATCTCGGCTGAATAGCTTTTAATACTGCATGAGCGTCTGTAGCTTGGCAGATCTTTGTTGTCTGCCAAACCAGCTAACTAGCCAACTAGCCTACGTTTTGTTATGGTGCAAAGTAATGGCTGCACAGTCAGCGCAGCTCGCCAGCTCAGCAGACGAGCTCACGTTATATCCACATAATAAACCCACTGAGTTCTCTTCGACTTGAATGTGACATGTGTTCACTGGACCTGACTCGAAAGCACTTGTTCGGGGGGGACAATGTTAGCAGCTGGGACAAGGAAAGCACAGCTAACCGTGAAGCTAACCTAGCTAGCTAGCTCATTAGCCAACTTCTTCCTGCAGCAGTCAGCGGGCTTTAAATGTCCCTGCAGATGAGTTAGGCCCCTAGCAGCGTTAGCCACTTCGCTCTGTGACTTTGTGCGGTACAAATGACCATGTGTGATACCCGTACCGCACATACATCGTGTGTCGAGGTTCGTACAAGTTGAGCAGCGGGCAGACGACCAGCGACAAAGCACACAACGAGAGATGTCCGGGGCCAACTTATATTGGTTATGAACGCTCACGGTGAGCTGTTGATAGCTCGGCTCATCCTGCTCAGGAGTCGTGAAATACACACCGCTTTATCCAGACGGGTTCGCTACGAGCTACCATGCACGCCTTTCCGCCGGTATGGCGTTATCACATGTCGTTTATCACGAAAGTATTCAGTATTTTACCTCGATTTTGGAAAGACGGGTCGGTGTTGTTGTTTATCCCCTTCCTTGTTCGTCCAGCTGATTCACATGACAGCTGCTGCTTCGTGCTTTGAGAAAGGGGCCGCGTTCCACATCGCTTCTACTCCAGCTCAGCGGTGAGTCGGCGTGATAACAGGGCGCCAGTGTGCGCAGGGGCAGAGCGGGCTGCGGTACATCCGTACACTGTGAGATCTACGAACCAGGAGGAGCGTCGGTGAACTGGAACGCAGCCAGTGTTGGTGGAGAGTGCACCTGTATCTTCCAGCATGTTAACTGTGTTTAATGCACAGGTTGGCTACACTTCAGATGTGTTATGTGTTTTGTTTTGTCTTGTCTGTTTTCTTACTCGGGTCCTGAGAAAAAAAGTTGTTTTTTTACAGATGAAATGTCAAATAAACTATTGAAACTACATGTTTGAGTTGTTCCTTTAAAGCACCATGAATATAGGTTATAAGCTATAACACAAAAACTAGTAAGGTACATTTTATGAATTGTAAAAAAAAAAATACTTTATTAATAATAAGTTAATAGTAACTTCCTAATGCTTTACAGACAAGTTATGATATTCTGGGTTGCCAGTTTGAGAGCTGGCATTGGTGTTTATCCTACTCCAACATGACACTTGCTTCCTCTTCTTAGCTCTGGTTCATCAGACCACATTGATTTGTTTAGATAATGTAATGTTCGGTTTCAACAATTTTGCTAAAACTATTCAAAATAAATACGATTATTTCATATTAACATGGGTAAAATACCATATCTGCGAATCGAACTATGACAATTCAAAACCCCTTGGAGCCAGGTGGCTCAGAAGTCTTGTATTTGTGAGTCAGCATGAACCAGAAAATGAAGCTGCTAAATGGAATTCAGCCATCATTACCCAGGCTACACTTGATTAATGACTTATTAACATCTATAAGCAAATGTCATGCTGGAGGAGGATTTACCAGAGCTTTTTTTTAACTAACAACTATATAAAAACTTATATATAGATAAGATAAGATATAGTTCCACTGTATATTCATTATTATTTATGCATGATTAATATAATCAAGAACCACAAACAATATATAATAACAATATGAGTAAATATTATATTCATATGCAAATCTGACACACCAGGATCCAACTGAATACAGCAGCATAGTATTAAACCGATATATAGAAGGATAGCCTGGTGTATATTATGGTATAGCATGTTGTAGCCTCTATTACTCAGCAACCACATAATCTCTGTAACATCTGACACTTTTTTTGCACTATTTAATACACTACTTGCATTATTAGTACTGTAGTCCACATATAGATATTTTTTTCCGCTAAGTTACTACTGTATTTATTTATTTATTTTGTTCTGTGCAATGATTTTTTTTTTATACCATACCTCTACCTACTGCTGTAACCTGTGCCATCTTCCATATCAATTACATCTGAATAAAAGCTGTATATAACTACATATAATGTACATACAACTCTATTTTTGTTTTATTCTATTCTATTTTTTATTTGTGTGTTTATGTGTACTTTTATTATCTGTTGTGTTGTATCTGGAGCTGCTGTAGCGGGTGAATTTCCCCAGTGTGGGCTCAATAAAGTCTATCTTATCTTATGTTATTATTGCATAAGCATCAATGCCTTTAAGCAAGCTGAATTACAGTTGTCTTGCACACAATCTGCGGTTATATTTCTGTGTCCAATATAAATATGTAATTGACGGTATGGCCACTGAAGTGCAGCAGTGTGTCGAGCTGCTGAGGAGTGGCTCTGCTGGCTGCAGTGACACTCAGTGAACTGTGGGGGTCGCTGATGATGACTTTCTGCAAACATGGCTGCCCAGGATGAACTCAGTAAGTTTCTCTCTGCGTTATTTGTGATTATTATCTCCTAAAAAGACGTGTTACTACCTATCAAATGCACACTGAACAACAGGCCTGCTTCTTTCTAAGGAATAGGCTGTTTTTAAGCGACCGTAAAGCTTTGCTTGTGTTTAAAAAAGAAAAGAAAAGAAAACTGTGGCAGGAACGATAGCTAGCTGCAGTGCTAACGTCAGGAGGCCGTTTGCCCAGTCATGGTCAAAATGAAACTATCACGCAGGCTATTAATATGACTCCATTAATCAAAGTTTTGAGGCGCAGATTTAAAACCCGAGTGTTTGGGGCATTTAGGATTCATTGCGCATGGTGTCAGTAGTAGTAGTCGATGGTGTTATGGCGGACAAATGATGAAATGCGTTGTTAGTCTGTGAGTTGGTGTGAGCTAGCCGGTTGGTGAGCCATGCCGAGAGAAAGAAGGCAGGGCTGGGTGATGGTTGCACCAACACAGCATCTGACCGGACCAGCTTACTAAACTGGACCAATGTGGACCACCCTGTGTCTGTTTCTATCGTTTGTGTATGTTTACTCCCTCTGTATGAAACTGAAGGTCGCCCAAGCTAGATTTAGCAAGTAGTTTCCCAATGGGTTGAATGGAAAGCAGTTGATTGTTGCATGTGCATTGGCTTTAAACAGGCCCCGTGTTTAGTGTTTGTTTGTTGGGCTAGGACAGATACCACCCAGAAAATGAGACATTAAAGTTGATCAAGGTGTTAAATGTGTGTGTGTGTGTGTGTTTTTTTTCACAGATCAACTGGAACGTGTGTTCCTTCGCCTGGGCCATGCAGAGACAGATGAACAGCTACAGGACATTATCTCCAAGTTCCTACCCCCTGTGCTTCTCAAACTCTCCAGCGTTCAGGAGGGTGTGCGAAAGAAAGTGAGAAGGGTGTTTCCTATTTCTATCCCTAAAGAGATTATGACTGTCGAGGCTGCGCTCTGTAGCAGTGGTTCTCAACCTTTTGAGTGTAGAGGATCCCCAAATCGATTCAGGCCACGGATCCGTATTTGAATAGATGTGGTCTCAGGGATACGATTTAGTTATTCCATAACTGTGTTGACAGATTAACAGTGAAGAGTGTGAAACTAATGAACAGAATAGTCTCTTATACATTATTTCATTTGGCTAAAGGTTAGCCAAATGAAATAATTGTGAAATTATTCCCCCTTTCTCTCGGCACCTTTCCCAAGGACCCCTGGTTGAGAAACGCTGCTCTATAGCATAAAAATGTGTGTCAATAAATTGCAGTCCAATGCCATCATAACCCCTCCCTCAAATATTAGCTTCTTCTTACCAACACCTCAGATAAACCCATACAACTTCCATTATGTAGATACGGATTCACAACGCAAATATGTTTATAAGGAGCTTGGATCTTTCTTCTTTGGCTTGTGAGGGTTGATTTATGCATTTGTTTCATGTAAGCGAACCTCCAAATTACTTTCTGTGCCTCCTCTTCTAGGTCATGGAGTTGTTGGTCCACCTGAACAAGAGGATAAAAAGCAGACCTAAGATTCAGCTACCAGTGGAAACTTTGCTGGTGCAGTACCAAGACCCTGCAGCTGCTTCCTTTGTTACAGTAAGAATCACATTTCATAATGTTGGTCTTATGAAGCTAGAAGTTTAACATACGTTGATAATACAATCAAGGAGTAGAGCAATTTCAAAATGTGTAAGAGAGTATAGTGCAAAAAGCAGTTTAAGTAAGTTTACTAATAATTAGTTATAGTAACAGATATCTACTTCTCTACATCTGTTTTAATACCTTATAACAAAAATAGAAGGTTTCATTGTCACTGATGTGGATTGTATTTGGAATCTATTTTAATATTGAAGTAGCAATCTGCGACCAATTCTGATTTTCATTTAGTTTAGACCAAGTAGTGGTCTGTGCCTCGAGACAGGCGTGGTGATTGTTTCATTTATGTACTTTGTAGAATTTCACCATCATCTACATCAAAATGGGCTACCCACGTCTGGAGGTGGGAAAACAGTGTGAGCTGGCCCCCACCCTTCTCACTGCCATGGAAGGCAAGCCCCAGCCACAGCAGGACAGGTGAGGGGACATATACACTGACACACACACACACACACACACAAATAAATATGTTTTATGTATATTCAAAACTTCTGTTTGACTGACACACCGATACAATGAAACACAGATACTGCCTCAGCCCTCCTTATGTGGGACTGACCCTATCTATTACTTGTTGGACTATGATTGAACTTCTCTCTCTCTTTCCTCTCTTAGCCTGATGCACCTGCTGATCCCTACTCTTTACCATATGAAGTATCCTGCAGACACCTCCAAGAATGCTTGTCCATTTAACCTAACTGAGAGGCCAAAGACAGTGCAGCTCCTGCTGGAGTTCATGTTAGATGTTTTACTGATGCCTTACGGGTGAGTTCCTCCTGTGTGGTTTGGGTTATTGTATGACCAAGGGCAAAGATTGGCCCAACTCCAGTGAACTCGGTGTGCTAGTTGCTAACTTGTCCTGTCCCTGTAGGTTTGTGCTGAACGAATCCCCGACTCGCCCTGCTCCTTCCTCCTCCCAGGGAAGTTCTGCAGAGGGGACAGTGGCTGCAGGTGGCCAGGGTCTCCCCCAGCCTCCCCCAGGGATGAGTGTCTATGCTGCCAAGAGGGTGATTGGAGAGGCCCAGTGGAGTGCTGAGCAGCTAGAGCAGGTACAATAACTGAAGCTGGAGGAAGAGCACTGGCTTGTTTGCAAGTTGTAGGTCTGTGTATACATTCAGCTCAATCCAGAAACTGCGTGTTAGCCGTCAGTTTTTAGCTATTCAATACATTTTTATGCTTATGTGTGTGTGTTTGTCTTGAGTATCAGCTAATGATTGCTTCATTGTGTGTTTGGTTTCTAAAGTGTAAGCTGGGCATAGTGAAGTTCATCGAGGCAAAGCAAGTCCCAGAGGTGGAGACCGTGGTGCACCTGGTGGTGGCGTCGAGTGACACCCGACACAGTGTGGCCACCGCAGCTGATCTGGAGCTGAAGAGCAAACAGAGGTAGGTGAAGGAGCTTCAGTCATCTCTGGTTCATGTGAGTTGTACAAGTCGTCCACTCAGTGATCTGCCCTCTAACTCACTAAATTACACAGTGATAGGAATGTAACCATACACTCAACTCATGATTCGATACAATTCACAATACTGGGTTCACATACAATCTTTTTCAAACAAAATGAGATTATAATTATGACTGAAAAAGATTTTCTCAGACAAAAATCTACAAAATATATTTAAATTTTTTTAATTTAAATTAAATTTTTTAAAGTTATAGAATTCTTTTTTATTTCTGAGGTAGGGTATAAACTGTGCAAAGCAATGTATATTTCCTTTTTGTGAAGTGAAACTGAGGTGTTTGTGCTTTGATACCACGACTGAAAACATGACTCATTTTTCATATTACCGATTTGAATCTTCACATATTTGATTTAACTGTCTGGCGATATGTATTTACATTCCTACACAGTGAGTTAATACGTTATTCGCTACAGTTGTCAATGCCTGTTAAATTCATCTCTAAATGATTCATTCTTTCCCAGTAACATTTTCTTCAGGCTATGAACATTTAAAAGATAGACCGGCTTGCATCTGTATCTGTTATAAAGCAAAGCTGACAAACTTTCATTCACATCATTGGTCATGTACTTGTTTTTTTATCTTTCAGCATCATCGACTGGAACAATCCTCTAATTATCAACAAGATGTACAAGGTGTATCTGGGGGATGTTCCTCTTAAAACAAAGGTTTGTACACAACATTTCATTTTCAAACTCAACCTGTCCACACAAAAAATATATAGTATATAATACTGTTTTTGCATGTGCTTTAGGGTGGCAATATGAAGCAAGAGCTGAAACACGAGCCAGTGAGCACAAGAGTCAAACTGAAGATCCTGCCACATCTTCTGCGGTCACGTCTAGCTGCAGAGTGCTTTCCAGCCAATATCCAGGTAGGCTCTTTGTCCAAGGCTCAGTGTTGCAGACACATGTTACAGTTACAGTTGTACATGTTACAAGATGGTGGAAGGCTAAATGATTTTTAAGGAAATGCTCCAGTGTGTGGTACAATCATTCCTTCCCTTTTCTCCGCAGGTTGTCTATGATGGTCTGTTTGGAGCAAACACCAACAACAAACTGCTGTCTCTCACCTTGCAGTTTGTCCATCACATCTGCATGGTGTAAGAAAAGTGCCCTTCCTTCTTTGTCTCCATAAAACCATGTTTAATTTCTTTTGCGTGATTATTTGCATTTTGCGTTCGAAAAGTTATATTTGGGCTTTTGTATGTTTTCCAGATGTCCTGACACTAATAAACCTTTGGGACTAATGCTGCTTAATGGTCTTACCAAGCTCATCAATGAATACAAGGAGGTAAAACTACAAATGCAGCCCACCTTTAAACTGAAATTATATACAGTTTAATGTGATTTATGCCTACTAAACAATCATTTGTCCCTGCAGGATCCGAAGTTGCTATGTGTTGCCTACTCTGCTGTTGGAAAGCTGTCAAGGTATAATGAAACAATTTCTTTTTTCCCATAAACATTGCCAGCTTTGTGTGGGATTGTATAAATGAAACCCTATTTTACTTTTTATATTCTTTCCTCAAGCCGCATGCCACAGCTGTTCACAAAGGATATTGCACTCGTACAGCAGTTTTTTGAGTCCATGTGTAAGGTAGGTGAAAGAGCTCTCAAAGATCTGACATTGTTGGGAGAGCACAGTGGTCTATCTGATATTGATATTTCCAAAATTCTGTGTCAACATCTTTAGGAGGAACCTGATGTCCGCCTTGCCATCCAGGAAGCTTTGTCTATGATGGTTGGAGCTTATGCCAACCTACAGGGGGCACTGCTGAACCTGATGGAAGCCCTGGTGGCTGCATACATTGGAAAGGTGAGTGTACATGTGCAAAATAGGTATTTGGTTTGTAAAGAAAAAAAAAACAACTAAATGTAGAATCATTTAGTAAGGTGAAATGAGGCAAATCAAGCACTTACGGTTTTCTTTTTTGTGCAGCCGGAGGTGCAAGTTCGCCAGGTGGCCATGAAGTTTGCCAGCACAGTGTTTGCTCCGGATCACGTGCCATCAAGATACTTGCTGCTATTGGCAGCTGGAGACCCGTAAGTCCCAAAACACAGAAAACTGCACACAAAGACAGAAAAATTAGGGTGCAGAAGATAAAATAAACTGGCTTCCTGTTTATTAGGAGGGAGGAGGTGTCTGCGGAGGCCCAGAGGGTGCTGAGAGCTTTTCCTACCAAGATCTCTGAGAAGGAGGGACCAAAGCCAATGCCATCCTTTCCTGACATGGTGGCCTATGTCCAGGAGAAGGTGAGGCTCTGTGCATATTTGTCGTCACCTTGGAGGCAATACATCCAGATTACAAGGTGTCCATTGTTGCTAAAAGAAATAATGAATATCTTTTTTCTTGTCATTATTTCAGGCGGCTCAGAGGATCAAGACTCCAGCTAAGTACATCGTTGGAACTTCTACTATTCCTTTCAACCCATCTGCATTTGGGGAGGTAAATATGAATTGGTGATCAGCCTGGGACATCTTTCGGGGATGTAAGTTGAGTTGTTTTTTGCTGCACACACCAATTTTGTCCCGTTTTCATAGATTGTGCTCTACCTGAGGATGTGTTTAGCCTACAGCGCCGGGGCCACGCCCATGTCCATACGTCTGCCAGACATGCAGGATGATGCACCAGCCATTGGCCGCTATGTCCACACACTGCTGTCATCTGAGCATCAACCTCCAGTGTCAAAGGGTTCCGAGGCAAACCCTGTTCATGTCTACATGGACCTGCTGCAGCAGCTGCTGTCGGCTGTAGGGGGTGAGAGAAGTTAACCGGCTCTATGTTTAGGGCTATTATATCCTACGTGATCAAGACAGGTCTCCATTGTTGTTACGGACTTGTTTAAATATTTGAGATGATTTTTAAGTATTACATGTAGCCTTTATTAATCACAGTCAAAATTTGGTTTAGGGTTAAGTTCAATGCAATGATACAGAGTCTCGGTTTTATTGGTTATTGAACCTATTATAAGTAATGGATTTAGTTATATTGTTTATATTTTTATCTCAATGTTGTGATATTGTAAAACACACAGGAACAGTCATGATGATCATGGTTGAAAACATGCTGTTTATTATGAATCTCTCAACAGGAATCCCAGTTATGTACTGTCTGCTGGAGATGGTGTCTGTCTGCCCAGAGAAACTGGCTCCCAGATTTGTTGATAAAATTGACTGGATCAAAGTGAGTATTTGAGTTATATGCATATTTATATGTTGGGGTCTGTGGCTCAGGAGGTAATCAGAAGGTTGGCAGATCGATCCCTGGCTCCTCCCGCTGCATGTCGAAGTGTTCTTGAGCATATACTGAACTCCAAACCCCAAATTGCCCCTGATGCTGTGTGTCAATGTATGAATGTGTGTTTAAATGAGTGAACGTGGCAGTGTAGCTTAAAGTGCTTTGAGTGGTTGAAAGACTAAAAAGGCTCTATGCAAGTACAGTCCATATTTAGATGTAGGATGGAGGCATCTGACATTTATTGTTCATTAGCGAGACAACTATCAGCACCACTAAACAATTAGTCCCATCATTTAGCTGTCCTGTGATACTGTGAACCATGAGCCTAATTCACATTCACTCTTGTCAATGCAATCAGCCGTAATAGATTTGATTCTCTCTTACACAGAGTCTGATGAACACAAATAAGGAGGACATGAGGGAGCTTGCAGCCCAGTTGTATGCGTTGGTGATTTCCACCATGACTGGCAACGAGCTGCAGATGGCTGTGCACAACCTGGTCAAAATCACCAAAGACAATCATGTATGTCACTTTGTCTCTATTTATGGAGCACTTCATAGATTTTATTATATTTTAAAATGTGCATTTTTACCTTATCGTAAATGTTTGTTTTGTTGAACCACAGAGTCCTGAGACTCAGCATGGCGCCATCTTGGCTCTTGGCTATATGGTGGGAAGGTACATGAGTAGGAAGAAGGCTGTCACCTCCAGGGACTCTACGCATGACATGGGGCAGCCAATGAACATCACCTCCGAAGGTGATGATGAACTTGTTGCCATGGCCACCAAGACGATTGGTATGTAATTATTTTGCAACAATTCCTTGCAGTTTAGGCTTCATTTATTTATACAAGAAATTGTTAAATTTCCTTTTAATGTTTGTCTTGTTTTTATTTTATCTGCCATTAAACTTTTTGTCACCACTATATTATCCACACTGCAGTATACTGGTTCATACACTTGTTTGTGTATCCATCCAGGTTCCTTCCTGGACAGCAGTAGTGCACTGCTGGCTGTAGCAGCGTGCACCGCTCTGGGAGAAATTGGGCGGAACGGCACCCTGCTAATCCCCGCAGAGGGAGAGGGCTTCACCAAACTGTCAACCGTGGAAAACCTGCTGGCTCGTATCCCCTCTGGCAAGGAAAGCACAAAGGTAACCTGGGACTTGCTGACAAGTTAATTTAATGGTGCACACTGTGTCCGTACTATATTCATACTGTATGATACATCCGATCTTCAGTTAAAAGATTTGTGACTCATGTCATCTTTATCTCAATGGTCTTGTTTGTCCATGTACGGGGTCCAGATGAAGGAGCGATCAATCCAGACCTTGGGTTACCTTCCTGTGGGTGATGGAGACTTCCCTCATCAGAAGAAGCTGCTGCAGGGCCTAATGGACTCTGTAGAGGTATGAAACTGACTAACAGTAGCAATGGAGGGTTTCACAAAGACAACAAAAACAGTTAGAACTTACAGGTTATTTGGTGGTGTTAATAGTTGTAGGCTATGTTTTCTAAAACCTTCAAGTGGGAATTTTTGCAGACACAAATTCAGCTGTCTGATCTTCATTCCATGACATGGTACCCCCATGAATCTGTCGGTAGGGCTCATTAGTGGAAACATATCTCATATCTTTCCCATTTTCTCCCTCAAGGCCAAGCAGGTGGAGCTGCAGTTTACAGTTGGAGAGGCTATAACCAGTGCTGCAATAGGCACCAGCTCTGGAGCTGCCAGAGATCCATGGACCTGCACTGAGGACCAGTACAGCCCGCCACACAGTAAGTACTTTGTCTTGATCCCCGTCACTTGCATCATGACAGTGTTTTGTACAATGAGATGCATGCTGATCAATGCTAGGTAAAAAAATAAAAATAATAATGTTTTGCCCCTTAACAACATTTCCACTCTCTTTTTTCCCGTTAGATATGAAAAACAATGACGTAGTTCTGTGGGTCCTTAACTCCATCCTGTCCAAGTATATACCCAGCCAGAACCCCCATGTCCGACAGGCAGCCTGCATATGGCTGCTCTCCCTGGTCAAGAAACTTAGTCAACACAAGGAAATCACGGTAGGTGTATTTTACAATGATATACTTCTGAATGTAAACATAAGTGAGTGCCACAGTTCATAGGAGGAACTCTAATATGGGAGTAAAGAAGATTTAGTTTTTTTGCTATGTCACAAAATATGCTTTCTTTTTCTCCTCATGAGAAAGAGAATCAGTTTTATTTAGTTTAAGACAAACTCCTTTTTATTGTGTGCGTATGTCAAATCACTCTTTTTTTGTAATTCACATATATATATATTTCTTTGCCTTTACTCCCGCAGTCCCATTTGAAGGAGATTCAGGTGGCGTTCATCTCTGTTCTCTCAGACCCTGATGGTAAGAAGAGATCTGCTCATTACTTAAACCAGCCAGTTTAAAATGTGCAACAAAATAAAAAATTCCAGTTCTTCATCCATCCCTCTTTTTCTCTTCTTCCATCTAGAGTTGAGTCAGGATGTAGCGTCTAAAGGCCTGGGACTTGTGTATGAGATGGGAGGAGAGGGTGACCAACAGAAACTGGTGTCCACCCTGGTGGAAACACTCATGACTGGCAAAAGGTGAGTGGGTGGTTGAGTAAAAGAGGAAGGAAACGAGAGAATTACAGGAGGCTGTGGTGCCCTTTCTGTAGGAGCTGAGAAATAACTTTATCAATTCTTATTTAACATTGCAAACAGAGTAAAACATGCTGTTTCAGAAGATACAGAGGTGTTCCAGGGAGAAGGTCTGGGTAAAACACCTGATGGGTAAGTCATATATCAGCCCTACTTGACCTTTTTTCTTTGTCCAAATGTATTTAAAATGCTCAAAATGTCTATCTGTTCTCTGTGTTCACAAATTGACCTACTTCTCCCTCTTGCATCGATGGCTCCCGGCAGTCACGGCCTGACCACATACAAGGAGCTCTGCTCATTGGCTAGCGACCTGAACCAACCAGATCTGGTCTACAAGTTCATGAACTTGGCCAATCATCATGCTATGTGGAACTCCCGCAAGGTATCGTGCTCATGCACCATACTCTCGACCCTCTTTCTCGTCCATCACACGTGCCACTTTTCCCGCTATCTGGGGTTGTCTCACCCTCCCGTCCACCTGTTCTCTCCTCCTCTTCAGGGAGCAGCTTTTGGTTTCCACATGATCGCAGCCAAGGCCGGTGAGCAGCTGGCTCCATTCCTGCCCCAGCTCGTGCCCCGTCTGTACCGCTACCAGTTTGACCCCAACCTTAGCATTCGCCAGGCCATGACCAGCATCTGGGATGCCTTGGTCACTGATAAGACCCTGGTAGGAGTTGAAGCTTGTGCATGTGCAAAAATACATACTCATGAATGTGCAAACAAATGGATGTGAGCATGTTTGTTCTCATGTGTTTCAGGTGGATAAGTATCTTAAGGAGATCCTGCAGGATGTCATTTCCAACTTGACCAGTAACACCTGGAGAGTGCGTGAGTCCAGGTACAATAAAAACATTATTAAGAATGTTTAGAGCATCATTATCTACTCTTCTACTTTAAGTTACTTCTTTAGGTTGAGTTGATTGTGCGAGAATGCTAAATGCTCCAAAAAAAAAATTTCATTTGCAACTTATTTTTTATTACATGTGAAGGTAAAAATAGTTAGGACTGCAGTCCAGTTGTCCTTGGTTGGAGGTTTTGCTGCAGCTATTTCTGTTAAATGACAAAAAAAAAAGAGAGAAAAAAAGTATTTTAACGAGATAATCATCTTGTGCCATACATTTATCTGAGATTATTTCCAGGTATAATGCGACAAAACAGCGATGCATTTCTATTCCAAATCTCTTTTCTTTTTCATATGTACCTTTCTCCTCTAGCCTCAGGAACACTGTAATGGCCCTGACCATTGTAATTATAGTAACTACTGTAATTACAGTAACCATTGTGATCATTGTAATTATAGTAATCTAGCAATTCATTTTATTCTTCAGTTACACTCTACAAGCCTACGCTGTAATGCAGAAATCCGAAAAAAAATGTGTTCTTGATGAATTGATTTTCCTTCCAGCTGCCTGGCTCTGAATGACCTGATTCGTGGCCGCCAAGCTGATGACCTCATTGATCACCTGGCAGAAATATGGGAGACACTCTTCAGAGTCCTTGATGACATCAAGGTGAGCAGGAAATGATCACAATCAGAGTTGCTTTAATTCACCAGATGGAATAGTTCTGTTGCATTGCAAACTAGATGACTAATTATATAAAGATATTATGTAAAGCAGACATGTCATACACACTAGGGATGGGCATTTCAAGTCATTTCACCCAAGTAAAATTGCAGGTGGGTTCACTGTTAACTGGTTTTTCAATGCGCAGTATTCAATTCCTTGAACATATACTCATGTCCAAACAAGTAATTTAGTTCTGATGCAGGCCCATCCCTAACACACACAGCAGAATACCTAAGCACATTTCAGTTTTGAATTGTTTCTTTATTAATTTTGTCATTTTGGATTTCAGGAATCTGTGAGGAAAGCTGCAGACCTGACACTGAAGACGCTCAGTAAGGTAAAGTTTGTCAGAATATCAACCTGTGTGTGTGTATAACTTGTTTTTGTGTACACGTGCACATCCAAGTGTCTGTCTCTCTCTATCCAGGTGTGTACTCGAATGTGCGAGTCTACAGGCTCTGCAGCCCAGAGAACTGTGGCGGTGATGTTACCAACCCTGCTGGAAAAAGGCATCGTTAGCAATGTATCAGAGGTCCGCGCACTAAGGTAACCTCTCCCTCTATAAATAAATGTGGTCTTGGTTTTGGCTTTTTGTTTGTTTATCTTTCAGTCACCACATTACCAGGTTGTTATTTTGTGCCACAGCATCGTCTGCCTTCTCTTTCAACCCATCCATTTTATTTATTCCCTACCAGTATCCAGACCCTGGTGAAGATCAGTAAGACAGCCGGGGCCAGATTAAAGCCTCATGCTTCCCGGTTGATCCCAGCCCTGCTGGAGGCCCTCAGCACCCTGGAGCCTCAGGTCCTCAACTACCTCAGTCTCAGAGCCACAGAGCAGGAAAAGGTAATCCCATCCTTCAGCTGCATCTTCACTTAACTAGTCTGGTAACCAAAGCCTGTAAGTTTTATTATGTTAGACTCCACATGAGTCATGAGTTCTGTTCTTTCTGCTTCTACAGAGTGCCATGGATGCCGCCAGGCTGAGTGCTGCCAAGTCCTCTCCAATGATGGAGACCATTAACATGGTAAGAAAAAGGTTGGATTTGCTGTTGAATCTCATTCCATCATTTCCTTGAGGTTATTCAGCCCAGTTTGTAGGTGTCACAGGAAAGAATGTCAGGTTTCTATTTGACAAAACATGATAACAGGCCAATAAAATCTGTTGAGTAAGGACTGTCTTGTGTCTCCCTGTGCTCAGTGTCTGCAGCACCTCGATGTTTCTGTGCTGGGCGAGCTGGTTCCCAGACTCTGTGAGCTGCTCAAGAGTGGAGTTGGCTTGGGCACCAAGGTAGACACACTTCTGTATTTCTTAGAGAGTTGGTAAATGGTTGATGCTTTGATTGTCTTTTAAATACACCTGTTCTCATGTGTTGGCCCTTGTTCCCCTCGTGTTTGTAGAGATGTAGTGTATCAAGTCAGCCTATGTTTGTCTATTTTCTCTGCGTAGGGTGGCTGTGCTAGTGTAATTGTTTCACTCACAGTGCAGTGCCCCCAGGACCTCACCCCATACTCAGGTAAAGCACAAGTTTGCTCATCCGTCCCTTCAATGTATTTACTGTTTGAAGAAAATGAACTAATGACAAAGATACTTTGGTGTTTCCAGGTAAACTGATGAGTGCCCTGTTGAGCGGTATCCATGACAGAAGCACCGTAGTACAGAAACAATTTGCCTTTGCTTTGGGACACCTAGTCAGGGTAAGCACTACATCTGTTAAGCAGTTGATTACTTGAATCACAGCATAGGGGTTCCTCAGTGACTCAGTAAGCAGGAGTTGTTGTACTTGTTTTTCCCATCAGACAGCAAAAGACAGCAGTGTAGAGAAACTACTACTGAAGCTCAACAGCTGGTACCTGGAGAAAGAAGGTAAGACAGCAGAAAATACATTTTCCCCTAAAAATACCAAAGAAAAAAACAAGCCTCACACAAACTCTCTTACTCGCAGAACTTGTGTACAAGTCGTCATGTGCGCTGACTGTGCACGCCATCAGCCACTACAGTCCTGATGTGCTGAAGAGCCATGCAGGAGTGGCTCTGCCGCTGGCCTTCCTGGGCATGCATCAGGCGGCAGGTCCGGATGAGGAGAAAGGGGAGGGCCACGATGCCACGCTGTGGGCCGAGGTGTGGCAGGAGAACGTCCCAGGTGAGAAATACTCATACAGCGTGTGCTTACCGTATTGCATTCTGGAATATAAAACATGGTCTGGTAATAACATCTCTGTGTATTTGGTCACTGCTCATTGCTGTGATTCTAGGAAGCTTTGGAGGCATCAGACTCTACATGACAGAGCTGATCGCTATCACGCAGAAGGCACTGCAGTCCCAGTCCTGGAAGATGAAGGCTCAGGGTGCAGCTGCCATGGCAACCGTTGCCAAGGAACAGACGGGCTCATTGGTGGCACCACACCTTGGCATGGTGCTAACGGCTTTAATGCAGGGACTGTCTGGACGCACATGGGCTGGCAAGGTAACGACTGATTATACGACAGCAGAGTAAAAAACATAAGAAAGAAATCGTTTTGGTTTTATATTTATACTTTTTTTTTCTTTTTTGGTTTCAGGAGGAGCTATTGAAAGCCATTGGATCAGTAGTCTCCAAATGCAGGTGAGACTCCTTGCAGAACTTTTTTTCCCCCCCTTTAACGGCAGTTTTATTTTACAAGTTTTTATATTTTATTGCTTCCATTCTTTCTTTGGCTTTTAGCACCGAGCTGCAGAAGCCTTGCGCAGGCCAACCCACCATCTCTGAGGTGCTGGAGGTTGTGTTGAAGGAATGTCGTAAGGAGAGTCTGGTGTACAAAATGGCTGCTCTGCGCTGTGCTGGAGACGTGCTTCAAAGCAGCAAGGAGGACCGTTTCAGGGACATGGCTGAGATCCTTTTACCTCTGATCAAGAAGGTTCAACTACATCTACTCCTTTTATATCACCTAATTGTTATTAACCTCTGTGTATATATATATATATGTTTAGTTTTAGTAGTTAAAGTTAAGTTATAGTTTTTAACTGTGCTACATCTATCTTCCTGATTCCCATCAGAGCTGCCCAGAGAGTGGTGCTGCGTCACCTAGGTCACGGGAGGAGGATGATGATAGAGATGTGAAGGAGAAAGAGCTGCAGACAGAAGCGCTGCTCTGTGCTTTTGAGACTCTTGGAAAGGCTTGGCCCAGAAACCCACAGACTCAGGGTAGGTTACAGCTTGTCCTCAGAACAGACACAACTGGACCACTGCTCAGAGAGAACAAGTTCAGAGAACTGGTTCAGGGACATTAATAAACCCTAAACCACATTTAACATTTCTAAGCTGTACACTTTGACATATTGTACATTGTGTATAGTGAAAAATATTAATGCTGGACACCAACATTTCCACAATGTAATGCAGCATAGAAATCTTTTCAGAATTGTAGGCCCCGCCCCTTAAAATCAGATTTTCACTGACCACAGAGAAACTTTCCACTTGAATGGAAGATGAATGTGAAAACATCCTTCTAGTGTCAAAATCTGCACGTACATCATTCTGCACAGTGAAGCTCAAACATCCAACTGTGGGGCCGAGAAGAAAAAACACACTTTTGAGTGGAGAGGGACTTTAATAAGCAACTACAATATCAGGAGCTTAGGCTTAGTGGCAGAACTGCTGTAGTGTTCCTCTCAGTAATGTAGGCTAAACTGAGTTGTGGCCCTTTTTATGAAGTAATGTTCTGAATGTTGTGTTCGTCTGTAGCTTGTTTCCAGGTGGAGGTGTGCAATCTGATGTGTGAGAAGCTCAAGCTCAGCACCTGGAAAGTCCAGCTCGGTGTTCTTCAGTCCATGAAGGCATACTTCAAAGGGTAAGGTCCAAACAAACAATAGCTATACTAAAAAGGGTTTCTCAAATTAACCCTGAATTAATCAAGCTGATCAAAGTTTTTGGACTGAATACATGAGGTGTTTTTCTCTGTAGGTTATTGCTGCTAGAGAAAGGCAATAAAGACTTGAACGCATTGTCGCAGATCCTCACAGAGACCTGCGCTGCTCTCACTTACCCTTTAGGTAAGCACCTCACATTTTCAGTGGACTCTTTAATCGCCTTAACAGGCCTCCATTTCATCATCATATTTGTGTTGCTTTTCTTTCCAGAAAACAAAAGTTACTCCTCCGTGAGGACAGAGGCCTTGTCAGTTGTGGATCTGATCGTAAAGAGAACTGGAGGCAAGTATTGCTACTAAGATTGTTAAAGTGTATTGTTCTTGATTTGTAACTGACATTGCCATCAGCCTGAGCTGTACTTTCCCACACATCTCCTTTTTTATTATTCCTTGCATGTGCTGCATTTTTAATATCATCCACTCAAAGAATGAATTCCAATGCAAAGCCACTGTCTTTAATGTTTTAGTTTATGGCTGATATTAGAGACTTGTTAAGGATTACTGTCCTGTATTACGCTAATTGTTTTCAGCTTCACATTTCTCACAGACTCCCACGAATACACATATATATGTACTGTATGTATCATAGATAATGAATCCAGGTGTCACTGAAATATTCTTGTGCATGTGTGATTTGAACAGAGAGTGAACAGTGGGACTGTGTGTCTGTGAAGAGCCGGGAGCAGCTTCAGCGCTCCCTGTCAACGCTGCAGTCCGACAGCAGACCTGACCTGAAGGATAAGGCTCAGGAGCTGCGCAGACACATACAGAGCCAACCCTGAGCACACACACACGCACACACGCACACACACGCGCGCACACACACGCGCGCGCACACACCACACACACACAC